CTGTCTGTCTGTCTGTCTGTCTGTCTGTCTGTCTGTCTGTCTGTCTGTCTGTCTGTCTGTCTGTCTGTCTGTCTGTCTGTCTGTTTGTCTGTTTGTCTGTTTGTCTGTTTGTCTGTTTGTCTGTTTGTCTGTTTGTCTGTTAGTCTGTTAGTCTGTTAGTCTGTTAGTCTGTTAGTCTGTTAGTCTGTTAATCTGTTAATCTGTTAATCTGTTAATCTGTTAATCTGTTAATCTGTTAATCTGTTAATCTGTTAGTCTGTTAGTTTGTTTGTGTCAAGAAGGCGTTCCACGCATTTCCTAATTAACATTTAACGAACACTTTCTTTGCGTAATTTTTAGGTCTGGATTTTGAAAAGTGGTGTGGACTTAACGCTAATTATCCAGATAGTTTGATTGTTTTGTCAAATCCACCAAATCCGACAACAGCAACAACATCAAAAGCTGACCATGTGTCTTTGACATTCATTTGGCTTTTGTCCGTAAGCTTTGCTTTTGTCTTAAGTCATGCGCTGTACTGAATCTGTTCAGTTACTTTCGTTATTTAAAATGCACGTAATTCATAGCCTACACACGTAAAAACCTCACAATTTGTCAACAAGATGTTTTCGCAACAAGCTTGTAACTACAAGGTTATCACTCACAACTTGTTGACAAATTATTGAATTGCAATGCAGGACGATAACAATTTGTTGGAACAACCTGTATCAAGTCTTTTGAGCTCAACAACCTTGTAGCAAGTTGTCAATGATAAGCCGTTGACATCTTGTCATTTGTCAACAAGCTGGGAACAAGCAGTGCGAACACATCCTGTTGCCAAGTTGTTGTAACAACATTGCTACAAGTCTGCTGCAGGGGCCGGTTGTATAAAAAAGTGAGTTAAAGTTAACTATAGTTAGTTGAAACGTTTCCAATAGGAAGCGCGTATTTGAGAGTAAATCACTATTTAACTACAAAATAGTGATTTAAAAAGTGATTAAGAGTTTTATACAACCTGCCCCAGGCATGTTACAACTTGTGCGTTTTTACGTGTGTAAGGCCTGTTTCAAACGTCGCGTTTCTCATGTGCCGAACGCATCAAAAACAGTAGATAATCAGCTGGGGCCGGTTGTATAAAACTCTTAATTACTTTTTAATCACTATTTTGTAGTTAAATAGTGATTAACTCTCAAATACGCGCTTCTTATTGGATGACGTTTCCACTAACTATAGTTAACTTTAATCACTTTTTTATACAACCGGCCCCTGAAATGTCTCATTATCTATTTCTAATGCGTTCGGCACCTGAGAAGCGCGACGTTTGAAACAGGCCTAAGGAGCAATAATAATTAATCTAAGGCCCGTTTCAGACGTCCGAATGGTTAAGACTAAAATAGGTCTAAGGGACCGGTCATTATTTATGGTGGGGGGTGGCACCGAGGAGAAATGTTTTTCTTGGCAAAAATTTTGCTGACCCAACCATTAAAAAGTAAAAAAATTGATTACCCAACCTCAAATATCAATTAAAAAATAAATACCCACCCCTGGCCAAAAACGTTACAAACGGATACCATTCAGTTGTCACACATGTCCTTTACCACTTCTGTGACATGAGTTTGATAACGGATTGTGAAATTTTCTGCAGTCTAAAGTTTCATGTTGTCTGCACATGTACTTTTTTTGGAGACACCATTTGCCTCCCAAAAAATCGGGAAATTATCAAGATATAGTGATTCTGATTGATTCACATATTGTATTGATCGACATACGACTGTTGACATCTTGCCATATTGATGACTGTTGCTTCTCAGTCTCCAATATTTCAGTGAATCATGCATTGGCAATAAATTTTTATCACCCAACCCCTGAGTTGTTTTCTTTTTCATTTACCCAACCTTTTACTCCCTCAAAATTTTGTTTACCCAACCCTTTTCTCTTCGGTGCCACCCCCCACCATAAATAATGACCGGTCCCTAAGGTAACACATTTAAATGTCGTGATTAAGAAGCTTTATATACCATATAATTGGGAAAGTAGCGCCCCCATCAGTTATTAGGGAGCTTTAGATTTGACTACGGCTACGAGATCTAGTACGACTATACGAGATTTTTTCGTTAAATATCTGCTCCAAAAAGCTTAAAATGTAGTTTGGTTCACGTGTTACGGTTTTAAAGATGCGCCATGCCAAAGAGAGAACGACAGCAAGTCTCAAGGAGCAGAAATTTAACGGAAAAATCTCGTAGTTGTACTAGATCTCGTAGCCGTAGTCAACTCTAAAGTTCCCTATTTGTTGTTTGCGGACCGCTACTTCGTGGATTGAGGCACTAATTACTGTGAAATTATCTTTGTTTCTTCATATTTACCGCCGGGGGCGCCACTTTGGGGATTCTACGGTAAATACCAATTATGCCTTTTTGTGATGGACCTGGATGGTGAACTCAAATTGTCGCAATGTTTTCTTTTTTGGCCAGGTTTAAAAAACAAGAGGTCCACACTAGGCCGGCTCCGTTACAAAGAGGTGTTAGTGATGAGGCAAAAAGTACTACAATGCACGCAACTGGCATATAATATATCAAAATGCATACCAATTGATACTAGCGAGATTTGGGAGTATTTGGGAGTAACGATCGACACAATTAATTTTTCATGCTAATGATTTGTATATATAATTTTTATCACTAATTCAACATACATGCACAATTAAAACGAGATATATTTTAATTTATATGAATTTAAGTGTCTGCCTTTGCGAGAAGGTACAATTATATTCTAGATTAGCCAACGAATGGCTATAATGGTACACGACTAACGAGCCCAAAAAGGGTTTCGTCTTCGATGTTCAGATCTTCTCTAGGTGATCTTGCGAAACAAAGCTATAAGATGTTTGTGATGTTACTCTGAGTATGCATCCACACCAAGCAAGCTGAAAGTTTGATGCTCCAACTGAGCTACGAAGTCAAGTCGGTTATGTACACTCAGAGTAACATCACAAACATCATATTCACCTGAGTACATAACACCAACACATACACATACACAAAAGAAGCTATAGGAGTTTAATCTGCCGACATTTTTCATGCAATTTCTTTCATTTTTCATCTTTAACATGTTATGTAAAGTGTCGGCAGAATAGAATGCGGGGCATATTCAACTCTCTCTTTGATTATACCGTTGTATCTGAAATTGCGTTGAAGGTTTCAGCAAAAATTACCTCTTGTATTAACATAGCCTTAACTCAAAAACTATCAAACGTGACTGAGAGTTGATGAGAGATGAGAAGCGAGAGTTTGCACGAGAGTTTTCTCAACTCTCATGCACCCCGGTCAAACGAGAACAAGAGTTGCATGAGAGTTGAGAAGCGAGAGTTTGCACGAGAGTTTTCTCAACTCTTATGCCCCGGTCGACAAACGAGAACAAGAGTTGCATGAGAGTTGAGAAGCGAGAGTTTGCATGAGAGTTTTCTCAACTCTGATGCCCCGGTCGACAAACGAGAACAAGAGTTGCATGAGAGTTGATGAGAGTTGACTGGAAGTTAACGCGCGCACTGAGAGTTGCATGAGAGTTGAGAAGCGAGAGTTTGCATGAGAGTTTTCTCAACTCTCATGGCCCGATCAAACGAGAACAAGAATTGCCTGAGAGTTGACTGGATATTAACGTGCGCATAGCGAAAACTCGATCATCAAAATTTCAACCAGCTCAAAGTTGATGAGAGTTGATGAGAGTGCATAAGGATCGATGAGAGTTGGTGCTCAAACGCCTGCGAGAGTTGCAACTCTCGTCCCCCTGTGACCGAGGCTTTAGTTTTACTATATCGACCACTTTGCAATATTTTTGCTTTATGTCATCGTTTTTGGTGTACTAAAATTTTTGAGTGATGTATAAGGTTGCCAAGGGCGACGACGTGTGTCTATTTTAAGACATTCCCTACGTGAATGGAGTGATCATAATAGTATTGAGTCAGCATCGATGTTTACATGTTGCCAACGGCCATGTAGCTACGAACGTTCATTTCTGAATACTAATGAGGTGCCTCGTGGTTCTCGTCCCTGATTGGCTGTTTGCAAGCAGGTGCCACACTCTGCGTGTTTGACAATTGGATAAGGATTCATTAAGATTCTTAACAGGAACCACGCATTTTTGATGAATTTATGCCTCAGCGAATTATTCGAGTTTAAAATGTTCCCCGTTAAATGTTGACTCATTTTGACGCGTAGAAATTTGTAACGTAGTAACAATTATTGATCGTTTTAAGGGCAGGAAGCGCTCAATTAAACCTTGCAAATTGAAGAAGAAAACTTGCCTTTAAAAGGCAGTTCACTGGCAGGGACTCTTTGAGCATCGCTAGTAAATACAGGTATGTATACAACGTTTACAAAATACGTATCGTTAAAAGGCAACAAGATACCTTACTTTTAATTAGTATTATGAGTATACTAGACCAGGCAGATGTGCGTTAGGTGGAATTTGAAGTCGTACACATATTCTTCCTATTCCATTTTATCCACATGGATTTTATCCACGGCGTTAGCTTTGCCTTGAATTTACCGCTCGTTTTATGGGGGCCTTTGTCAACGCATAAAGCGAAAAAGCGCGCAAATTATAGTACGTTTCCAAATTTCAACAACAGAATCTAAACGCAATTTCGTTACATTGGTCAAACTGGTAGAAATATTTACTTTCAGATGCGAGGTATTCCGGACCAAATGTAACAAAGCCAATATATTAAAAAAAAATGTTTTTATAGCCTTAATATAATTTCAACATGAAAATCTTATTCGGTAACCATAGGACTATGATGATATCGTACGATTATTTGAACGTAAAATTTCAGTAAACAGTTATTTTTGATTGGAAAAACAAGTCTTTGTAATTATACGTATATTTGTTTACATATTTTAACTGCGATTTAATACCTGAAAATGGTAATATTGGATTAATAGATGATTTCTCTCGGTTTATATACAAAACAATGCCCAATATATTCAGTGCGCGCTATATACTGGCTATATACTGGCATCGTAGTTTTTGACAGAACATTGAAGCGATTTATATATTGTTCTATTGATTAACTAAAATTTGGACAGCAAGATATATTTTTCTCTTGCTGTTTTCAAATTGCGGTTATTATTTTCAATTTATTTATGGTATAGCGGTTTTCTTTTTGTATAAATTAAGAGCGAAGTCGATGCGAAGAAAATGTTATCTTTGTATATATATTCATGACAGGGGAAACTGCGAGAATGTAATTATTGGTTAAAAGAATAGATATTAAAAAATAGACGTCTCAAGCGTTCGTTTCCGTTACTGAACTTTTTTTCACGATGAAATAGTCGTTTGCGAGAGAAGTGCGTCCGAGTTTATCTTTTCTCCAACTGTAATCTGGTTTTCTCCTGTGACTGGGTCAAAAACAGGACGGTTTTTCTGCACCTCTAGCAAGAGAGAACAGTTTATAGTCATAACTGCATGACAGAGCTATCCATCCAGTCTAAAATAAAAGTTAGTCTGTTTTTCGTTGCAATTCAACTAAAACAGGATTTTCTTGAAAAAAATGATGAAATATTTATTACTTTACAAAGCGATGATTTTATCATAATTAGAACTCGGCCCTTTTCTGGTATAGTTATGGGTTTCCAATGCCTTGGTGTTCCGCATGTATTATCGCTTACTTTCTTGGCCGAAGCCAAAACTAGTATTTCATTATAGGGCAGTCAAGTGAAGAATATATTTTCAAACGTCCGTTTAAAACCACGTCCGCGCGTTTTCATTTGCCACTAAATTTTGGACAGAGTTTTGAAACATACACAATGCGGGCTTTTTTTGTAAACGCGTTCATTCGAAGCATTTGCGCAAATGGACCAAAAAACATTTGTTAGAATTGTTTAACGTTGTTAATGATCTCAAAATAGTCAAGTCCGGTATAAAAATGGCACAATAATGTCACCTGCTATTGTATAAGATTGTATAACGTTGTTTTTATGTAGGCCAATGGGCTCTGTAGACTGTACATATATGGAGTATAAGAACTTCAGTCATTTGGCTTAAGGTCTTTTTTGCTGCGATTTTCGGTGCGATTTTCTTCTAGACTTCTGATGGATGTGATCGAGTGGATGAGTTATGAATGTTCAGATGAGGGTACATATACTCAGAACAATCATAACTCATCTACTCGTTCACATCCATCAGAAGTAGAAAATCGCACTAGGAATCGCAGCAAAAATCGCAAGTGTAAACTGGCGTTCAATTCATAAGAAAAGTGAAGCCAGCAAGATGACGCGGAAATTGATCGTCCAAAATCTGTGAAGATCGTAAACAATATTTTAATACCATTTTCCCGTGCTAATTCCAGTTTTCTAACAGACCATATCGCTAATAAAGTTATCAGATCATAAAACCGTAATACTGTTCTAATGTTCATAAGTCAAAACACGAAAATTTGATACACTCCTTATATTACTCGTTAACCGCACAAACAATCAATTAGCCATTCCGAAGTTGATGAGAGGACTGGGGACGAGTGTTAAAAAGTGCCCAAATTAAGAAATGAACCAAATCACTAAAAAGACCACCTCAAAATTAGTAGGTATGCAAAGTTTGAAGACGTTTACAGTGAGTATCCATCGAATAATAAGCTTTCGAAAATCGTGAAATTACTGATTAAAAGATTGTTTTTGAAACGCGTGTCCCAAAAACAAAAATTACAATGCATTTCATAGTAAATATCACGATTTTCGAAAGCTTATTATTCGATGGATATTCATGTAAACGTCTTCAAACTTTGTATACTTACTAATTTTGAGGTGGTCTTTTTAGTGATTTGGTTCATTTCTTAATTTGGGCACTTTTTAACACTCGTCCCCAGTCCACTCATCAACTTCGGAATGGCTAATAGAACGGTACATTTCCACCATCTTTAGCTTCACTTTTGGACGCGAGTTCTTATACTCCAGATATATATCGAGCTCAGTGGTGTAGGCGTTTTCAGCTGAATAACTATTAGAGACATCTGTGAGTGGGTTTGCGTATCATGTATTTACTGTTTGTAGGGATGAATAGACATATAACTACCTGATAAATACAAGGAAATCTAGATCTTCGAGGTTTCGAGATCCTTCGTTGAGAAGTTAGTAGCTCTAACTTCCTGAGTCCCAACGAAGGGCCTTTGCTCGAACGTCGAAGTTCTCCTTGTATTTTTCAGGTAGTTGTATCTCAATACATGCATCCACAGCTTAGTTCTTATTTCCTTATTCATTTCACCGCGAAGACTGACTAAATAGTCCACTCTCTTCATCCTGAGTGCTTCTTAATCTCTCCCGTTGTCAACATGCCAACAACAGCTGGTATTCTTATGAGTAGAACGTTTGCGTGGGTCCGACAAGAGATTGATTATAAGTTCCTTTGAAGAATGGAATATGGCTACTCTTCAGCTTTTTTCTTGTACTGTTGAGTGCACGATGTTGTGAAGTCCTAATAAGGAAGCTCGATTCTTTAAAGTCTTTGAGACCAAGACAATGTTGTTCTAAGAAATACTCCAGTGATGTATATTTGTCTAGCAGTGATGAAGTGTTTCACTTGAGCTCTTGACTCGCAAAGCTCCCCTACGTCTAACAGACTCACGTACACGTTTAGTCTCTGAGACAGGAAATTAGGCAACTGATGTCCTTTTGCATATTATAACAGTTGTGCTATCAGTCACGATTTTGAGTGACCAGAATGCTCCATAGTGTCTTTTCATTATTTTCAAAATCTCACTTTTCTCCATGCCGTTTGTTTTGAGATATTTTAGCATTTATACAAAGGAGTATTGTGATTATTCATTTCAGTCTTCAGAACTTCATTTCAGTCTTCAGAATCGAACTTCATCAGTCAGCCTTCAGAACTTCATTGATTATGG